ATTCGGATGCATTTCTGCATTTATAGCATCAGGTTATGTATATATATGTCCATTTTCTCATTAAACTACAAAGTGGATTTGTCCCATCTGCCATGCTATTGTCTTTATTCATTAGCAAAGATAAATTTAAACACAGTGATTACCCCAAAAATGCTATAGCTGTACAGTTCAGTTGCAATGCTCTCTTCATCCTTTAGGCACAAATCTTGAGTGTCAGCTCTGACTTCAGAATTTGTACTGCTTAAAAGGCACTGCTGAATGGATGAGAAGGAAAGCTAGGATCTGTCAGGCAAAAAAACTATCTGCTATTCACAAAGAGAAAACAAACATTCTTTCCTAATGTTTCAGGGAATTAAGTTTTAAAATATGGTTGTTAAACCATTGTGTTTTGTAAATCTAATGTACTAAGACTGCAAAACTATTATCTTGTATGGGTCAACTACATGTTTGGATGCTGTCTATCTCAATTTCAAAAATTACTCCTACAGTTACATCCTGCTTTCATCCCAAGCCTGTTGGGAAATGGTCAGTTTATGGAGATTTTTGCTTTGTGTGTTGGGACTTGCTTTTCCTGAAATCAGAACATCAATGGATTTAAATTTTCCCTGCTGCTTCTCAGAGCCACTCACACAAATGACCATTTCTCTTTCTTCACCATATTTCTGTTTCTGTGGATTTTAAATTATTTATTTTTTTTTATTTTAACATATTTCCTGTTTGCAATTGTATGCTTCAATTTTGCGATTTAATTTGTATGTTTGTTCTTGATGGAAATGTGTTTTGCTAGCTAGGAAGATGACAGGATGGACAATATTCCAATATATTTTAACTGCATCTCCATTTTAAGCTTTGCAAGAAACTTTTTCTAGAACTGACACTTCAATCAGGACAGAATATGCAGGACAAGTACCCATCTCAGGCCACAGTGGACTAAACAGCTGTTCACATAATGATTGCTGGTGGAAGGGAATCTGGTACAGAGACCCCCCATAAATGGGGCCACCAGCTCTAATAAAACAAGGAATTTTTTATTAAGGTTGGTTTTTAGTTGGGTTACATTTGAAGTTTAGCTATACAAGCCATATATCCTTTGTCAGAGAAAGAAATAGAAAAAGAACTCTATTAAACTGAGACCATGGTCAACAGATTTCAACTGACCAACTTCAGGGAAGGCCTTTTCAGCATAAAGCCAGGTATCAAAATACTGGTTAAATGTGGCCTTAACTGCCTAAGGTCTGAATTTCTTTGTAACAAGAATTTGTTAACACGGTTCTTATATAAGCAAAAGACAGAGGATGGCTCTAGATCATTCCCCCATTTCTTGATCACAATGATCATTCCCCCATTTCTTGATCTGTCCATCTATTGTTAGCACCACATCTTCATATTTTGCCCCATAGACATTCTTTCTCCCTAAATGCATCAGCAGGGAGAGATGAGAGACTCATTAAATTTATATGTCCCCATTGGGGCCTGCTTCAGAAGGTTTGTAAGGACAGGATAAAAACCTTTTTTACATGAAAGACTAATATCTGAATAAGAAGTAAGATAGGAGGGATATCAAAACACACCTGAAGATGTAGATAGGGCATTATTCTCAGATCCCATTGAATCCCTCAAGTGTAGACTAGCCAAGTCTTGTTTTGCTACTCCAGTCTTCTTGGCTTTGTGTGCTGTGCTAAAATTAGCTGCATCCTTGAAAGGCTTATTAAATGTCATTGGATATATTCAAGAATTTGCATGTTTTGATGTTTTGCCTTGTTTTGGCAGTGTAACTTAATCAGCAGTCATGTAGCAACATCCAAGACAAATACAATAATAGCCTTGTGTTCTATTTTTCACTAATTTAGGTGGAGCTCACACTGCCTTCCATTTTACTTGTATTCATTTTTATTTTTTTATAAACAAATCAGAAATACATTTTTATTAGCAATGAAATATGTAACAATATTAATATGCTTTCATCAAATTCCGTATGATTATAACAAACATTGATATTATATTCGATTTGGAGTCTCTCCTATTCATGTCATGTTGCATTTTTCAGGACTTGGAATGCTAAATCCATGATCTAGCTTAAACAGATGCAAGTTAGGACTATAGCCAAAAATATGATGAACCGGGAAATACATTACTGAGTGTTGTGAGAATATCTCCTTTAATACCTTCCAAAATAAATCAAACATGCTACTTTAATTTTCAGAAATAAGTTGCAAAGTTTGTATACCAACCAGAATTTTAGTGTTGAGGCTTTAACATTTTTCTGAGAAAACTCATCATTTCCTGTTCAGAAATTCAGTTGCTTCTTCCACAGTCTCCATCCAAGCTTTTTCAGTTGAAAGGTATTTCAGCCCTTGTAACTACCAAGAAAGAAATATTATGCAGCTTTTCCATACACATCCGTAACTCATTAATACAATCATAGCATACCAGGTTGGAAGGAACATCGAGGATCATCTGGTCCAACCTTGCTTGACAAAACTGCGTGTAGGCAAGATTGCCCAAAATCTTGCCCAGGCAAATTTTAAAACCAGGAATCTGTCACTTCCCTGGGGACATTATTCCAAAGACTGAATTTTTTCATAGTGAAAAATTTTACTTGTGTCAAATTGAAATCTCTCTAGGAGTAACTTGCCTTGACTTTTGCATCTGACTCTTTGTCAAAAGGAGTCTCTGTCTTCTTTTTAGCCGCCTCTTAAATACTGTAATATAGTGATAAAATCTTCCCTGTGCCTCTTCTCAAGGCTGAGCAACCCCACTTCTTTCAGCCTTTTCCTCATATGACAGGCTCCCCATCTTTGTGGTCCTTCTCCTGACCATCTCCAGCTGGTCCACACCTTTTTTATATAGCAGGGGCCAAAACTGAACACAGTATTCCAAATGTGACCTGAAAATCACTGAGCAGAGGGGAATAACTTCTTCTTTATCTCTGATGATGGTGCTCTTGTTGATTCCATCCAGCATCCTGTTGGATTTCTTTTACACAGCAGCTCACTGTTCACTCATATTGAATTTGTTGTCCACCAGAACACTGAACACTTTTCACTGAACTGCTTCCCTGACCAGTAGATCCCAACCTGTGCTGCACTCCTGGATTATGTTTCCCCAGCTGCAAGCACTTACATTTGTCCTTGCTGAACTTCATAAAATTCTTCTTAATTTTCTCATATTCATTTTTATCAGTCTTTTTTGCAGAGAAATAAGACTGAATTATAAAAGCTTGTTTTGAATTTACTGACTTGATGAATGTGTGGCATGTTTTACTTACAGCTGCAGTTTGCTAAATATTTTTCAGGGTCACTGCACTTTTTTATTGTTCTACTGTATAGGTATTTATTCTTGGTAGGCAGATATTTCTCAAGAGCAGAAAACTGTACTCTGTTTTTATAATCTTTGTACCTGACAGTACGTTATCTTTATTTCTTTAAGGATCAAATCTTTACATTTGACTGAAAATGCTTATATTTACTTATCACAAATTGTATAATATAAAAGAAAATTAATCAGAAGGACAAATATTAATTTAAGCAGCTGGTATCTTATAATTTAGCTGGAAGAAGTGAAATTTTCTTTGCTATTTTGAAACATTCTTATCATTTTTCAATATTACCTTATGTTCAGGCATAGTTATGAGCAACTCTTCTGTACAGTTAAATATTTCCATTAAAATACAGTTGAGTAGTTCATGTGCTGTAAAACACTATTATTATGCAAATAAACAACATGGATGAAATAGAAGTTTGGCAAATGTTAGTGCATACAAGATCTGTAAGTTGCAGGTGTAAATAAAACATTACAGCAGTGGTAATAAGTGCAATTCCATGAGCAGAAATGATAGAGCTGGAATAGAAATGGAATAGAATGAAAATGCTATTATTTTTCCTAGTGTGTTTCTTATAGTTTTCTAGACCATAACTGTAGAAGAAAACCAGAATAACCACTTTACTTCTGTACAGAACACAAGCAGAAAGAGGGTTGACATTCAGCCACTGGAGTGGAGAGTACTGACAAGTGACAGCAGAAAGACTGCTTAGAATAACTACTCAAATCAAAGTTAGATTTGTGAAAATTTCAGATTCAGAGCTTCAGCACAGCTGATCTCTATCCTACCAGTAGGTCTGAAATACAGGATCACATATCTGGAACTCAGATAAATTTCAATTATGTATGGATATGAATCATCCACATATTTTTACCAGGGGGCAATGAGTTATGTAATACTGAGTTTTCAGAAAAGCATGGGAGATTCGATTTGTGTGGTGATGTCAGAACCTCACACTGGAGCAATAGCTGAGATACAGTCTTTCTTTTCATCCTGTGATAATTTTCATAAATGCCTGATGAGGATAGGGTTAACTTGTCCTCCATGAGTAGAACAGATAATAGCATCTGTCTGCCCTCAATGTAAGGACTTCCAGGGAGGCCAGCAGTGCAAGAAAGAAATACAGCTTGGCTCAGATGGCAAGTTACTTGCTCTGAAAGGGATTTAACAGGAGTGATCTCTAAGAATCCTTTCATACTGGCATACAATCGGATTTGGTTCTAAGAGAAAGACTGACTAAGAAAAATCTTAACCGCTACTTCCTAACCTTAAGAGCTATTTCTGCTGTTTTCCATTTGTTTCTTGATACATATGTTTCTTGATAAAAGGAATCCCTTTTCACCTGAAACCCCTAAAAATAATCTGTTGAAAAGAGCATGTCTACAGACATGTTTATAGACAAGTTCTTGTGTTCTGGCATGAGCTCAGTGTGCACTAAGGACATGATATAAAATTGAAGTTCCTAAATAATAGCACTGTGTTAAATCACTGGGTGATGAAACAGTTTTGAAGAATTTATTACCCGCTTTTTAAAGTATAAAGCCACATTAATACTTGCAATGATAATTATGTTCTCTGCTTCATGTACATTAAATAAACCATCTTTTTTGTCTTAAAAATATGAACTGAACTGTGGCTGTTATGCTCAGAAAAATATATGTTTTGTTTTCCTTTTCAGGATGACAAGTAACCAGCCTTGCACATCCAAAATAAAATAATACTGTGTATATCGCTTGTTCAACCTGATTACTTTGATAAGACACACCTTTCCTGTTGAAAGTTTCTGCATACTTTATTGGTGACAAAAGAAGATACCTTTCACTATACTCAAAAGATTTTTAGTATAAGCTCTTGACTATTGTTAAGAATTCCTTTTTAAAAACAGTTTCTTTTAATGCTCTGTATTTATACATCAGTAAAACTTAAAATGTAAATTTCTTTTTTCTGTGTTTTTAATCAAAATTCAATATGTAACATTCATAGATTCTAATGTTTAAGACTGTAGGCATTATATTGAGGTGAGTACAGTTTCTTCTGCATATTAGCTGTTTTTTAGGATTTACAAAGTTCACAGACTTTAAGCTGCAGGATGAATTCTGCCCTTGAAGGAGTGTGTTGAATTCTCCTTGAATTCAGTGCGAGTCCTATGTGAATGACTGAGGGCAGGAAATGGCCTTTAAAAGGGACTGATTTGCCTTTTAACAATTCATTCACAATAAACAGAGGCTTTGATCAGTCTCCTGACTAATTTGCTGTTCAAGCAAAATAGCCAACCTCTGACATTAAGTTTGGAGAGATGATTAATCTTCAATATAAACTGGAAGGGGAAACGACCTCTTCTGTGTATCACGTCCTCTGCTAGAGATATTCCTCTTGCAGGGATTCAGGTGATGAGGGTCTGTCCATATTCAGCAGCATGATGGAAGCAGTCTGGTCTGGCACAGACATAAACACACACTGACTGTTGCATAAATGCCTTGTGATTGTTTTCACCATCTTGTCTTTTGCAGGGAGGTCAGAAATGGCAACAAATAGACAGACAATGGCTTCCCCACCCCAAAATTTCCAATGTATAAATATATTTATAAATATAAATATACATAATATTCAATTTATGGAAATTACTTCTGGAGTAAGATAAGTATACTGAATGGGTTAACCAGAAAAAAAGAACTGCCTTGTAATACCTGCCATGTATGATTATTATAATCTTGCAGACAAATATAATTACAGTGTGTGATGTCTGTTTATGTCTGTGAAAGCTTTGATTATGTTCTCTTGTCTGCATTACACTGCAAAACAGCATAAACATTTATATTTTATAGTAACTCTAATCCAGTGCTAATGCCCTGAGCTATGGGTGTCACTTCAAATTGCCAAGATTTATGTGATACTTGTATTTGCCTTTTTCAGGTGAATTTGATCCTAGTACACTTAGTGTTATACTGATTTGTGGAATCTAGAGACTATTCATAGGCTGCAGAGAGGAGTGAAATTACTTATATAGGAGCACATATAATAAAATCTTAATTACTCCAGAGTTTCAGTATCTCATATAGAAATTAAGAGACTAACTGTAGCAACTTTGTAATGATTGAAATATTAATATAGGACCTCTCAAATTTTAGACACTGTAGATTTTACAGAACAGGCTACAAATTCATCATAACATTTTACCAATCTGCACACCACATTTAAAATAAGAGCTCTTAGGTTGCATAGACTACACGTCTATTCTTAAAAATAATCTGAACACTAAAGAAATAGGTGGGTGCTACACATTTTTTTTTTAATTTATGTACACTTTAGGAGGGAAATAAGACCAACAAAAGTGAACACAGGATTTGTATGCAGCTAATGTCATCTCTCAGCTTGAAATGAAGCTGAACCTCTGGTCTAGAGATAGCCAGTTCAATAGTGTTGTGGTTTAACCCTGCCAGGACCCAAGCCCCAGGCAGCTGCTCACTCACTCCCCGCCAGTGGTACTGGGGAGCAAATTGGAAGGGTAAAACCTAGAAAACTCATAGGTTGAGTTAAATACCGATTAACAGGGGAAGCAAAAGCTGCACACATAAACAGCAAAAGCAGAACAAGAAATTAATTCCCCAGTTCCCATGGGCAGACAGGTGTTAGGCCATCTCTGGGAGAACAGGACCCCATCACATGTGACTTGGAAAATGGTGACTTCGGAAAACAAATATTGTCACTCCAAACATCCACCCCTTCCTGCTTCTTCCCCTCACCTTCTATACTGAGCATGATGTCACATGGTCTGGAATATCCATTCAATCAGTTGGATCACCTGTCCCTGCTGTAACTCCTCCCAAGCTTCCAGGCACCCTGACTTCCTCTCCAGCCTGGCAGTACAAAAAGCAGAAAAGTGGCTCTGTGTAAGCCCTGCACGGCAATAACAAATACATCTCCATATTATTTTCACAGTGTTCTGCACAAATCCAAAATATTGCCATCATGAAGAAAATTAACTCTATGTCAGCCAAAGCCAGCACAACAGCTAGACATTCATAGAGAGATAACAAGCAGACTTAAAATATATACTCATGCTATGTGCTGCACAAGTACAGACCACATAAAGTGCTGCATCCTATTTGACAGGTATGTGAGGTCACTGAGGGAAGTAGCGACACAGTGTGAATGCTCACTTCAATGGGGCAACAAGTCACTCTCTGAACGGTGCCCAAATCTGCGAGATCTGTGGTTTCCCACTTCCTGGCTGCAATCGGGGAATGAGAAAGGATGAACTGGAGGAAGCTGGTGCCAGAGCCCCTTCACGGGGTTTTGGCTGCTTGGACTCAGGGCCAGCACTGAGAGCAGCGCAGCTGTGCAGCCTGGATTCAGAGAGCTGTTTGAGGAGGAGCTGTGGGAAGCCTTAGCAGAGGCCATTCCCTTGTACTCAGGAGCTGCATTTAATCTGAGCGATTGCCCTTGTCCCTCTCTGGGGTGCACTGCGCCCATGCAGGGGCCCAGCCACGTAGCTCACTGATCTGAACCTGACCCCTGGCCAGCCCTGCCTTCACCTTACACCTGCCCTAGTGTTTCTGTCCTTGCCTGCTGTCCAGCTCGGCTGACAGTCCCCAGGCTCTGCCTTCCTTGTTCAGGTGCTGCAGGACTTGTCTGTCAGGCCATTGTCCTGCTGCCCTTGGCCTGGCATGCCATACCTGAGAACAGCATCCTGCTGCTGCTCCTTCTCTCTGAGTCCAAAATGAGTTTGACTGCTGCTGGAATAAGGAAAACATCTGAAGAGGATAACCTTGTTTAGGCTTAGTGTTCAACTTCTGTGGAACACAGCGTTTCCTTTGTGATACACATTTCTTTTGTGTCATTAGTGCCATTAAAATTTTGCAAGCCCGTAAATGGAGATGTTGGTAAGTAAGTGTTGGCTTTTAATGAGATGCAGGTAAAACTCCAGTTACTTTGACATCCTACTCTTCTCATATATTTTTACTCTAATTTAAATATATTTATTTGAACTTAAATATATAAGATCAAACCTCTGAGTGCAAATAATACAACATTTCTGGACAGGGTAGTAGCAGTGAAGGTGCATCCTCTATATCTCATCATACATGTAAATCAGAGCAAGTAACATTGACATAGCATTAACTTGATTCTTTCTATAGAAGCTTAGCCTAGAGTCACAAAACTGCAGCACAGCAAAATGAACATCCTCATTCATACTGTTTATATCCCAGCTTGCACCGTGTATATCCCAGCTTGCACCATGTATATAGAAATAAGATGAGACTTTTAAATTAAAGCAAGCTTTGGCACAAACCTCAAGCACACTCTATTAAGTGTATGATGTTTTTGTTTCTCATAATTTAGAAGCAAATATCTAAAAATGTTTTAATACAGGGGAAATTGCCTATATGAAAGTAAGACTACCATTTTGCCAAAAATGGTGCAGGCCTTCTTTTTTTTTTTGCAATTTGTGAATTTCCTTTTTACCTAAAATTAAACTGCATTTTCATGAATAGCATTTCCATTTTTTGTATACCTATCATAATAAAAAGCCAAAACTAAAACTCAGATACAGATACTACAGCTAGTGTCATGAAATATACTTTTTAAAGTTGCAATCTAGTTTTTAGATCATGCAAATTTCTAAAAAATACAGTAAATAGTTTTTATGCTCATACTGCTCTGTGACATTTTTGGACTTTGTAAATAAGTTGTATTCCTCAGTTAGATGAGTACAAACTTTCTAAATGTGATACTGGAACATGAAAGACACATTGAGATTTATGTCATACAGATGAAGTCCAGTTTTCATTTTCCATTCAGCTTAGTTAGTCAGTAAATAAATTTAAATTGGAAAAATCTTTTTGAAAGTAAGGAGTCCCAAATCCAAGCATATAGATTTTTCTGATGCAGTTTTTCAAAATGTTGTTTCTAACTGAAACCAGGAATAACAGACATATGCAGTATAAATAAAATAAATATATATGCATCTATTAATTAATCAAATACTTTGAAAAAAATTCATTTAACACTTAAGACTGCAAAAAGGAAGATGGATCTTATCTAAAGATAAGACAGTTCTTTTCTTGGTTTCTAAAGCCCCTGAATATGTTCAAGAACACAGTAAGAGAACAGAATGCTGGTGTGCTGTTTCAAAATAGGGCAAGCTCTGCGCTTTCTAGATGTCAGCAGCAGATTGTTTATGCATGCTTGTTATGCATGCACCTGAATTCCTTTGTGGTTAGCAAGCTGGTGTTGGAACTTAGCATAAATAACAAAAGCTACCCAAATGATCAAGATGCCCTTCAACCAAGATCATCGGGACTCTCCACTCTGGCTCTGTGCATGTACATATGTGCTTATATGGGGAGACCCAGAAGTTCACAGCATTTGGCTTTTTTTTTAATGTTGGTTGTACAAAACCTGGAAACACATTCTAGTATGTGGGCTCTCTATCTATATTGCTTGTTAAAAACTTTTATTGCTACTTTTCTGCCAAGCACAAGTAGGTCCATCTTGAGGAAGATCTAATTAGTAATGACTCTTAATGTATGCTCCATTTGAACACATAACAACAATATTTCATTTTTTAATGAAATGCAATAGCGTGAACCTTTGACCATGAAAGTACACACAAGATGTTACTTGACTGCAAAGATATGTAGCAATATAGTTATGCTTTTCTCCATGTCTGGAATGATTAATTCTTTTCTATTACTTCATGATACTTACACAAAAATACATATTG